TACGGAAGAATAAGTTTAAGTTTGAGTAGTAATAGTAGTGTGCTTTGCAGGCACATTAATTAACTGTACGACATTTATGTTTATAGTAATGTGTGAGGATAATATTGAATACAACAAACAATAGCAAATGTCCCTTATACAAGAGTCCATGGCCGTCTTACTTAAATTAATCTTAGTTACTTAAATACTATTAGTCTTAGTATTGTCTGTGTATGTATATCCTTACCTGTAAAGTGAAGCACCAGCATCAGAAATAAAGACATTTTAATCCATCTGAATTCAACCATCGTGCCTCTCTGTCTCTATCTCTTGTTCTCACGCCCTTAACTGTCAAAGTTTCTGAACGAATGCTTCTTTAAGACAGATACAGCATTGACTTCCTGTTATGAGTGTTACTTCCCTCTAATTGATCTTTTTCACATCTGTTGAATCAGCCGGTCAGTTTTTAGCTCCACAGATAATGTGGAGGGAATCTCCTGCACTGACTAATGAATCCTCCTTCAGTCGGAGTTGAACAAGAGAAACTTCATGTCAAAATGTGAACTTCAGACACGAGAAATCTTCATCGTACCAGTTGAGATCTGTATCTGGGTTGTTGGCATGACGATGAACTCACACACCACCCAAAACTACAACACACTTCCTTTCTATCTAAAACATACATCCTGTTAATAATCACATCCTATATTAATATTATACATAGCTTTTCTAGCATTTATCACTGTGCACAGGGGTAGTGGGGGTAGTGTTTGCAGTTTAAGAACTAATATGAGCTGATTTGGGTTTTAAAGTAAAGGTGAACAGACAAAGACAGTAGATTTAACAGGATTTGTTTGCATTATATCTGCAGCAACGACGTTTATGACGCCTTGAAAGACGAGGAAGAGGACAAGAACAGGCCTAAAAAAAAAGAGATGATGTTTGAAACCACACGTAAACGCAAAAGTGAGTCAACCCACCCACCAGAACCTGACTCCTGAGACTCATGGTGCAATAAAGATGTTGCAAAATAATCATACTTTAATGGTTTTAGAATAGTTCCTCATTTGTACTAATACTTACGCATTATATCTGAGGAAAGAGTGGGAAGTAATCTGACCGTGCTGTGTTTGTTACACTGACCCATATGGGGAGTTTTTTGTAAAAGGCCAGGCACTTGGCATGTGATTGTATGGACCATCTGTCTATCACTGTCTGTCAGGGGAGATCTTCAACCAATCAGATCAGTCAGCGCCGGTCGGCCCTATCCGCACACTACGCAAGCTGCGTAAGGCCCCGCACATTACGCAAAGGACCCGCGTCCACAACCTGTCTGTCACTACGGATGACAGTGTGTACAACTCCAGTGAGAGGATGAACGGAACCACCCGTCAAGAAAAGAGAGAGATAGAGACTTTGTGCAGGACAAAAGTGAGACTGAGATACAATGAGAAACAGTGCCATAAAGAGAGGAAAAAGATAAAGAGAAGAGGAAGCGAGAAGAGACAGAGAGGAGAGGAGGAGTGGAGACTCCAGAATGTAGTCAAAGGATGTCATATTTTTTTATTTTTTTTATTTTAATCATGACCAATAAAGCTGCTCTTTCATCAGAAATCAAAATCTCAGTTTACTGCTCTATTGTATATAAAACATTTGTGTTCTTTACTTTCAGGTAATGTACTGCACCAAACTCCCTTTAAGAAATATGACATTTTTAACAATCCCTTACGTGTCCGTAACAACACGGAAGTCTAGAAACACGAGCTCAGGAGCATCATATGTCCACAGTCTGACTGTCAATTCGGCATCAATATAATAATCCATCAAGATACATTTAAGACGATGCTGTCGCCTCAACTCGCTACAGTCTCCGTTGTCAGTGGGAGGAGACTGTGGCAATAAGAGGCGGATCGTTTTAATAATCATTATTTCTCACTAAAATGAGTGCCAGCTGGTGGATTAAATATATGCCGAATTAAACACAGACTCATAACATTGTTCATTCACCGTCTATTATTATGCGACTGTCAGTATTTGAGGAGTTTTTTAGCCGTTACCATAGTAACCTGTTTAATAGTAGTAGCAGTCGTTTCTATCATCCAGGTAAGAAAGAGTTGGATGCTCAGCCCTGTATATTTGCTGCTTCATTACTGTCTTCTTTCCAGCAGTTTTCCTCCACCTCCCCATACTCCTCCTGCATTTATGTGAATTCAGCATGTTGGTTCTCACGCATGTGATCATATTCAGTTGTTTTTTAAGGGTGTCTATACATATGTTGCAATACAAAAACATGACAGTATGCAATGCATCTCAGTTGTGTCTGTTCAGTGTTTGTAGTGCACAGTCCATGATACCAATGTTAATAACTCGTTTTCCTTTAAAGAGAATGGGATTTAATGTGAGCACTAGCTTTTGACTTTAAAATAATTCATTTTTATTTTTATTTAATGGGATGGGATTTGGGGTAAGTGCATAATTATAGTAAGACATTCGTCTGTTTTTCAAAGATCTTATATTATCTTATTATTATTATATTTTCATATTGGCGTCATTGCGGTTTTTCAACTTTGGGGGAGACATAGGCCTACTGTAAATTCAGCAATGAGACTGAGCCATGGATTCATTCATTGTAGTCCAGCCCTCTCCTCCTACTCTCACTCCAGTCCATCCCACCCATCCAACCACTATTAAATGTTTTATAAATCATAAACTTGTATGTTCCCCGTTTTCTGATTTATATGTCCTGCACTCACTGACCATCCTTCCAGCAACATCAGGTAAATTCACCGGTGATTAGACTCAAAAAACAAAAAACAAAACAGGTTTTCCAAAACATAAATTAAGCACAGGTTCAGGAGCTCATCCGAGGAGGACGTGATGTTGCTGTCCATGGTGCTGAAGTGGATAATTAATTCATCTTGAGCCACTTGATTTATTTAACTGTTAGCAAGCCATGTTATATATATTTGGATATAAAACATGAATGACACAACACAGTTAGAATATTCACAAATAGCACTTTTCTAAAATGCTGCTCTGTTTATGAAAATCAACATTCTGTTACCTATGTTTATTGATTTACTTGTTGTTAGACACAGACACTAGGGCGTTGTGATCAAGCACAGATTGCTGAATGTTTCCATCCATCCATCAGCATCACTGTCACCACATTAGAGGCATCACGAGTTAGAAAAAACCTTGTGGATAGTTTCAGTCCATTCAACTGTTTAATACAACTCTCAAGGCTGATGTTATTTATTTTATTAACTTAACAGGACATACAAAAAAACTGAAAACAGATATAAATGTTCCAAAAAACTACAACAGATTCACTGAACATCAAAACAAACAAAAAATATATAGATACAGTAGCATTCAAAACATAACCTGATAGCAGTATATTCATATTTTATGTTTTGAATAGGCAAAGCAAACAGAACATATACATGATATTACTTTTACTATTTACATACTACTTGACCTATCACTCACTGCCCCTTTTGGACAAAAAGCTGTTTACAACAATACACCCTGGAATCATCAGAAAAATATTAAATATCCATATTAATTTAAAGTGGTTTGGGAGTTTTAGTTCACCTTTAACGGAGCAGTTATTTTTACCCAAACCACAATCTTTGCTGGGCTACACGATATCAGCCCGATAATAGGACCAATGCCGCATCTGGGGCGACATCCCGCCAGAAAGTTATTTCACCATGTGTACAGAGATGTGGACCAATAGGAGCAAAAAGCGCTCTTCAACTGTAAACACGGTGAAGTGAAAGAGGAAGGATATCCGTGTGGCAAGGTGGAACTGTGAAACAGATTAAAGGCTACAATTATTTTTTCTTCCTCATTCAGGCCTTTTTGAAACACAAGACAACCAGTATAGCATACACTGATTCGGACTCCATTGTTTGTTTACATTCTTGTTCCTGGAAGTTTTTTTTTCTAGATTTCTGATCATTGAGGATTTTTGTGATTTGTAAAATTTTAGAGATCTGTTTATCTGACTGGTGAAGATTCCAACATTCAATATTGCCAAACCTGGCAAAATGGTTCCCAGGTACTGTGGTATCTTATTTTTTATTGATGGTGGCGTAGAGGTTGCTGTGATCATCAGAGGCTCCAGCAGAAGACGAGGAAGCTTTCACAGTGCTGTACGTCACTGTATCTTCACCATCATCATCATTTTTAACCTGTACCTGAGAAAGGGAAACGGCACCACACATATAGTAAATACACAACATTGATGAACAACATAACCTAACAAGAGTTCTTAAAGTCCCAATTTTGTTGCCATCTAACCAGATTTTCCTAATATAATATCAAACGAATGAGAAGAAGTTAAACGCCTAATTCAAACTAAAAGCAACACCAAATGCAAGAAGATACAAAAAAATCCCTGTGTGAATGTGTAATTAGGTTTATAATTTCACTGCCACATCATTAGAGCATGAGGAGATCTGACTATAATTATGTTACATTAAATTCTTATGTTGCTTAGATGTATTGCTATTGTGTGTATGGAAATTTGTGATTGTCATTCTTCAGCTGAAATCCAGGTAGTGTGAAAGAGAAATATACACAATTATATATAAATAATAAATATATATCAAAAACATAATTCAAAGACCAATATGCACTCTCTGTAGCTCTGCCTTTGGGCTCTACCAACTCTTGAGGGGACGATCTGGCTCTTTAGTTGCTAAATGCTCCACTTTATGAACCAGCTACTCTCTGTCTGCAGTTTGTACAGAGGATTCTTAGTGTTTTTTCTCAGAAAACTCCGGCCTATTGCTGCCATGAGAGTGTAAACCAAAACAATAAAGTTGCAACCTGGCCTTCAAACAGTGAAACTCAATATAAAGCTCTATAAAGCCGAGGGCAGCTGCAGTAGCAAATGCTGACTGGGTGTAACCGGGCTCAGCAGCCTCTGCAGAGACAAAGAGGCCTGAGACGACATTGACTGAGGAAGTTAAGAAATAGAAAAGAAGAGTGACTGAGCAAGAAGCAACCGGACATTCGTTTTTGGTCATAAGTAATGTAATCATAACACATGTACATCTATTGCTGTCCATTTACAACAGTGGTATTGCAACAGGGGGCGCCAAATCCCAACAAATACCGAATCTAACATAGGGTTGCTTTAAAAATAAAAATAAATGGGCTATCTTGTGTTACTTAAAATGTTCTTTTCTGTATTCAGTAACATGACCAGTACTACAATTCAGACAGCTTACCCGGCCTTTACTGTTGGTCTTCTTGGTGAAGCTGATGGAGGCGTAGG